AATTCAAGCACTACAACTAATTAATATAATTTTAATATTATTATATCAACTTATCAAATCCAACGTAACTATATCAATATCATTATATAAACTTTTTAATTAATACTCTCTCTGTTTAAAAAAGAATGACCTAATTTGATTTGAAACATAATTTAAGAAAAAAAAAGATTTTTTTAAAGTGGTTCTAAATTAAAATTATGTCAAATATACCAAAATGTCCTTTAATTTTGTTGCCTTAAATATGTCAGGTGCCAAAAAAAGTCATTCTTTTTTTAAACAGACTAATAAAAAACTAAATCATTTTTTTTTAAATAGAGGGAGTAACATTTTTTCTTACACGACACTTATTTGTTGACTTATTTAAATATGGACAGTTATCATAAACCTATATTATTATTCTAGCATTTACCTTTTTACTTCCTTAATTTTCTATTTTCATTCTCTCATTATTGTATTGAATATTGTTAAGTCAATCAAATCATTAAACATTTTTCATTATTTAAAATATATTGTTGTTTATATACAAAAAGATCAATTTTTTTAAAATTTTTTGTTGATTTTTTTAAATTTCAAGCACCGCAACAAATCAATACTATATTAATATTATTATTATATCAACTTATCAACTCCAGCCCAACTACATCAATATCATTATATAAACTTTTTAATGTTTCGAGTTAAGTTTTATTATTTTAACTTTATATTACTCCATTGAAAATTTCTTTGTTTGCATACTTACTTCATAAGGTCTGCATGCATTCTCCCTTATCGATACTTATAGGTTACATTAAGTATGTTATAGGCTTATAGCTATTCAATTTATATACCATAACTTTTTTTAAAAAATAAATTAAAACCTATTTATGAAATTTGGCTTTAGACTCCCAAATTTGTTAAGATGACCTTGATTATAGTAGTATTATGATAAATATTGTTAAAGAGAGGTCTGACTATTTGTAATACAACATCAATATATAAAAATACCTGATTGAGAGGAGTGATTATCCTTATAAAGGCCAAAACTGAAGCTATTGTTATTGTTATTGCTATTGCTATTGCCCTTTAGGTCAAGTATTTCGCACATCTAGTTTCACTCTATCCTCATCAGACACCACCATCGTCTCCTCCTCTTCCTTCCTCAGACCGGTCAGAGGCAACCCGGTCTGATCCCTTATTTGAAGTGGAGGTAATTCGTCGATGTCATGCTTAGCTTCATTAAGCAACCAATCCACAACTTTGCTTGGTTGATCTAGCCCTAATTTGTCTTGAAGATCATACACTTGAAGGGCTGTGGGAACGGAGAGCCTAACTCTCCGATCCCTCAGCCCTTTCACTGTAAGAACTTTGCTATGACGATCTTTTCCCCCAAATGCTCGTGACACACGAACAATCCTTGGATCTTTAAATCTTGTCCATGATGACGATGATGATAATGATGATTTTTTTGGAATCATAATAACATTATTATCACTTGGATCTACTTCTCTACTAATCATAATACCTAATTAAAAAGTGAAAAATTAAATTAATTAGGTAATGAAAATAACAAAAGTATATAATACTTGAAGAGAGGTTTATTTAAAAATTTTAACCACAAATCATTCGAACAGGAGTGATGAGGGGTTTCCATTTCACTTCCAATAAAAAGAAATACATAAGTTGGAAGGGGAATATATCGAACCTTACTACCTTTTACATTTAGGGATGACAATAAGGCGGTGTGGGGCGAGGGAGGGTAATCTACTTTTCTATATACTCCATGAAGAAACACATATTTGAAGGCAGCTAAACCAATGTTATAAACTAATGTGCCCTAGCTAGCATATACTCCCCCCTCTCATTTTTTGTCACCTTTTTATTTTGTAAATGCATTAAAAATGATATAGTTTTATTCTTTTATTCTTATTTAATGTTTTTTTTAAATTTGTTTCATAATAAATGACAAACATATTTTCAAAACTAATTAACTAATCTATCAAAGGAATAATAGACAAAATATTGTTATTTATTCATAAATTTTATAAAATGACAAATATTATGATTCAGGTATTTATAAAAAAAATGACATATATAATGAAATGAAAGGAGTACATATAAAATATAAGTACGAGAGAGATCACTTACATAGTAAGAGTTCAATCCTTCCTTTTTTGGAATGAACAAAGGGTTTGTGAAGGTTTCAAAAGAGAAAATTCACGTTTTATAGAAATAAGTAAGGAGAATGTTCAACTTGAGAGAGGAAGATGCTTCACTCCAACACAACAAATATATATATATATACTCTAAAAGCAAGAAGCAATGGTGTATAGAGTGACACGTGATTTTTCGTGTACTCATTTAAATAATACACTAAAACCTCTCTAAATAAATGTTATCGAAATTATAAAATATTATTATTTTATAAAATTATTATTTAATTAATAAATTAATATTAATTAATCTAAAAAGTATTTTTGAGATTAACAAAGGCTAATTTTAATTACATTGTTCAGGGAAATATAAAAAAAACCTTTTGTGAAAACGATATTCATAAATTTGTGGTCATGATTAATGATGGTTATTTTTACAATAAAATAGATATCAATAGCTTGTTAGATTATCCGAGTGAAAATAATACATGTTTATAGGTTTAGATATTAGAAAAGAATTGTAGATGTTATAAAAAAAAATAATATCGATGATAAAGTTGTTAAGTAAAAATGTCCCATCTTGCGCTCCCATCTTTTATACACACCGAGTTAATAAGTTATAATACTTTTTTTAGTTTAATTATGTGACGATTTTTTATTCTTTGAAATTTAAATTACATAAACTTTGATCAATATTTTAAATTTTCTTTTTTCGTTATATTGATATAAGAAATATACAAATTCTAGTTTTAAAATTTTAAATTAATTTAACTTGAAAGATTAATCATATGAATTAAGACAAATGAAATAGGTATTTTGCGAGATGGATTTCGAGTTCCCTTTTATCTATATTCTACTTTGTGTTCTAACTTCTACTCGGGAGTTATCTCATTTTTTTGTTATAATTAATTTAAATACATTTTTAAATATAAAAATATATCATTGCTTGCTGAAAAATCAAAAATAAAAAAAGTGTATCGATCAATAAAAAGAAATTAAAAATTTCACAAAGATAAAGTCCACAAACGTAACCAAGATGCGATCTTCCCTTTACTCAAAAGAGTAAGTTTATATATAACCCTTCACTCCATATTTTTTTCCGATTGAATGATATTTTTATACCTTTTCGTATTATTTAAGGTATTTTTACGATTATCAATAATTCAAAGATAAAACTAATAGTTTTGATCAATTTTCGAGAGATTTTCAACACTTCTTTTATATAATATATTCTCGTCTTCAATTTATATGATATATTTTTATTATTAATCCGTTTTAAAAAGAATAACACATTTCAATTTAACTTTAAAAATTCTATTTTACCCTTAATAATATTAGAATCACACAAATACTAAATATAGACCACAAATTTACAAAATGTTCATTTTTTTCTTTTAAAGTAATTCATAAAATGAGACGCAATAAAGTATGTTTAAAGAATCCGTCGAATATATTTTGGCCATAACAAATAGTAGTATTCACTTTTTTTTTTCATTTTATTTGAAATCAGCTTTGGTTATAAAAAATTTAAATTCAATTTGAAGTTTTATCTTAAATTAAAATTTTTTTTATAACTTTACTTGAACTTTATAAATTTCATATAATAGAATAAATGAAGTCATTTTATAAATCAAGATATTTTATGATCACGCATGGTAAAATCAATTCAGAAATAATATTTTTAATATAATTTTTTTCATACTAAAAAATTGAACTCAAACTTAAAATTCCTAATTAAGAATAAAGCATTATTTTCACCGCACCACAACCTAGATTAGTACCTCTAAACTAATTAATACTTCTCCTCATAGCAAAATAAAATAATATTTATATTATTATAAAATCATTATCCCTTGTAGCTTCTCCAATAGACTGGAATTTGTTGATGGATAGGGTAAAAAGTGTTTACAAAATCAGTGGAGATTTCCATTTCTAAATCTTTCTGCAGTCCCACCCACTGTCCACAGCCGCAATTTCCACCGACCCATGATAAAACAATACTAATAATTCTTTAGCTCAATAATATCGAAAAAAATTCTTTTTGACTAGAAAATTTACTTAGAATTAAAATAAAATGACATTTTATTTTTTAAAAATATTTTGATCCTTTTGATTTTAAAATATTTTAATTAAAAAATTAAAAAATATTTTTTTAAAAAAAATATATTATAAACTTATAAATTTCTAATCAAGATTTTTCGACTATTCTGTATCACCCACTATTAAAAAAACATGTCTTTGACTTTTCCCACAGAATTCAATAATATTTATTAGTGGATACCGTGTATATATTTTCCTCTTTTTTCTTCTGAAGTTAGTTACTTGTAGTTCAAACATCTATTTCTCCCTTTATCAATAGAGAGAAAAAAAAGAAGAAGAATAATTCCTGGCCCCAAATAGGGAAAATTGTGCCTACTAATAAAGTGATGGGACTTTGTGAATGTGAAGACATATATCTATATATAATCAAGGAAATCAAAAAGTTTAAATTTAAAATTTCAAATACATTTGTATTTTATTAATTAAAAATTAAATCTACAATGCTTTAATAAACTCTTTGAAGCACATAAGTAATTTAAATTGAGTCGGAAACTAAATTCCCAATTCTAAATTTCTTTGGAGTTGTTTTTTACGAGATGTTCTATAAGTGTACATTATTTTTATTTTAAATATATATAATTCATAATTAAATAAAAAAAAACAGGACCTGTGATATAAAACATGGTAAGACACGTCAAAATATATGATTATGAATTGAGATCATTTTCACATTTGCATTTAGTTGGAGCATGCGTGACCGCCAAACGAATATAAAGACGGCACACATTTATTGGAGAAAAAAAATTGGACTGTGACAAGACACAATTGGAATTCGAAACTTTTAAATCTGATAAGATTGAAAAACTAGCTAAATATAAAACGAGATATTCTTTTTAGAATTGATTCACAATTAAAACAGAAGATGTTACAAATATCATAATGCTATGGCACTACCAATTCCTGAAAATTCCAAATGGTACATCATGAAGCAACAACTGACTCTGACCAATTTACACCAGAGAACACACACACACCAGGCACGTTATTGCAGCAGGACGAGTTAGCCATGACTAGAGAGCCTGGTAAAAAGGGATTGAATTCCATTAGTTAAGAATTATACGAAATAATCTCATGTAAAGAAAATATTGCAGGCTATGTCGCAATGCAGACAATTGCTAAATAATTGACCAGATCAAGCTTCCCTGAATCGACGTGTTCCTATCCAAACATAAATGGATGAATGAATAAGCACGGAAAATTCCACGAATTCAAAATTACCTTTCTTAGAAATGATTTCTAAAACCTAAAGGAATGCCCACCAAAGAAGGTTCACAAGTTAAAGAGATAATATCTCACGTGGCCACTCAACTAATGATTTTTCTCTTACAAAGGCAATCAGTTTCCCACATCGCTCCTTCGGGAGGTTATCCTTCACGAATCTTCGCTTCCCTTAGATACTACAGCTTTACTAGTTAGGGGCATTTGTAATGTGATCATGTTTCTGCCTATCCGTTTGTTCTTTAATAACTTTTTCAAACTCTACAAATGAGAGTATTTTTGTTCTCCCTAGCCTTCTCATAGTCCCCCTCCTATTTTCATCTCTGGAAGCAAGAATATTTGCTGGTCATTGTATGCTAAGAACTTCATTGACTGTGTTCCGGAACTTTTTGGTTATATGCAATACAAAAAGCAGCCAGAAAAAGAACAACACAATGAGTCTGAGAAACTTCAGTCACATCTCAAAAAATCAATGTGTCATCAGAAATTCAGCATAAAAAATGTGTGACATGTTCTCTTGAGCGCCATTTATGTCCAAACTCTTATATTATTATCCCATCTCCTCCTCAAAGTAGATCCCCAGCATCTTGCTGAGGTCCCTCCATCACAGTAAGGGTGACAAACGATCTGCTTACCTCAATCCCCTCGGAGAAGGTAAGAATCATTACCATTAGTTAGAATTGAGAACTTGTATGTGGTGATGCCACATCCCATGTGTAACTTCCAAAAGATATAGGAAATGCTTACATGGTAAAAGCTTTTCCAACCACCGGTTTACAAGGTATTCAAACCTTGCCTGGTCCCATTTCTTTCCAGGCATTTGTTGACAATCGAAACAAACATAAGTGATCTGTAGTTAGCAGTTTTCTAATGATTATCCATATGTTGGTCTCAACTTACCAATAAAGTATATGCTTGTCTCGATCGAGTATAATAGCTTGAAATCCCTCATTTCTTCTATATCACATATTTTTGGTGTCAAAGCAATAAATAAGATGCATTGTTTTTGGAAGTCTTGAACATATAAAAAAAGAAAATTACTTTAGAGCATTACGTATATATCCCATGATAATTCGCCAACATTCCTGAAAAAAGGCCGCGGTGAAACATTGAGTAACCTTAATCCCTTCATATGGCTTAGAAATATTAGCTACCTCATCCTTCAGGAATGGTCCATGCAGCGCTTTTTTTGGCAACCATAAACCAATAAATTTTCACCTTCATGACCTTTCCTCAGCGATAGTAACTTACTAGAAATCCTTTGATCAGTAATTTTTCTGTACGAACTCTTCATCCTGTTTACTTAAGAGATCTGATTTATACTACTAATTTTCTCCATAATCTGGTACTTCCTTCGTCCCAATCTGTGAAAAATACTCAAGTTCCAACTTTGAGGCAATAAGAAGCTTGGTTAGCCTTCTAACTCAAAAGCAAGGGTTCTTCCTTTTAATTTTTGTGAAACCATCTACCTCTAACTATGTCTTTGAATTTAAAGTAACTAAACGTGATCACAGTAGGTTCGTCATCCGTGAAAATTTTAAGCAAGATGTTTCTGGTCAAGTTAAAATATTGTATGTAGCTGGATTGCTTGATACTTCTAAAAACATCATCTCATTTAGTGGAGAATAGGAAGCCATCAATTCTAGATGTTACAACAAAGTCTTAACTCCTCTAATGTGAAGTTAATTTTCACTGTGAATGAAATATCTACACTGACTTTATCTTGTATACTGAATACCGTTTTAGATATAGGAAATTCTAGATTCTAGTATTAGTCTTCTTTCTTCATGGAATTTACCCCAAAGTTCTCTCACAGTTCTATCCCAGATTGAACATATGTAAGCGAACAAACAACAAAAAACTGTGTTATGACTCATTATCTTGACTGCTAAATAGTGGCAACTAGTTACAGATTCTGCAAGTACGCATCATCCTACTGTAGATCAAAATCATAACGTGAAAGAGTAAACCATGAAGTACAATCTATCTAGGGTGCCGCTACTATCTTTTGGCATCTTTGGAACGAGAGGAACCATAGATGTTTTGATGAATCTCAACTCCAACACATCTTGTAAGGTAGATTGTCTAGTTATAAGCCTTTCAAGTTGGAACTTTCTAACCACTGTAAATAGCCCAGAGAAGTTTTTGGATTTTGTCAGTTTCCTAGTTATAGCATAGTCTTTTATTTTTGTTTATGGAGCTAGCAAAATAAAATCACCGTCTTTTGTACTATGTTCTATTTGTATTTTCTTGAATATGCCTTTTAATGATATTACAAACTTAATAAAAATAAAAGGTAACTCTTGAAGGAAATGTAATACATAGAAAAATTGGGATATATTCTGCTATCTTTGTTGTTCCAAAAGCATCCCTTTTTCACTAGAATTGCATTTGTTTCCTCTAACATTTTAAGATTTTTACTCTTCAGAGTAATGTTTGTACAATCTTATATGGCAGACTTTCTCTACAACAGTTCACCAAATTCTTTGTTTGATATTTCATTTGCAGTTTAAAGATCAAATACGAAACAGATTCCTTAATTTGGCAAACTCCTGCTTCATCCTTCAACAGAGGAGGATATGACAAATAGGCTAGCTTTTTTTTTTTCTCCAATCAGAATATCAATCAACATCATGTATCTGTCTCCGCTCCTTATTCAAAGCAAACCATGCATTACCCGTCAAGGACTTGTATTGTCTAATCACTCAAACAAGAAATTCTAACTTCATGGAGTGAATACACAGATATAAAACCAACACCGAATCATTCCATTGTGCATTTAGCATGGCTAGAATTTTATTTATTTTTTCCCGGAACTTTTCCAGTATTTAGTTACTCCCCTGAGCTTCTACCACATATGGGCAGATGTCATGTCATTTTCCTATATATCTATATCCCAATATCTATATATTTCATATTACTTGCTTCAATCAAACCAGTTTTACAATTGCTATCCACCCTCAATATCAAAATTCCTCACCAAAACTTCATCCTCATATATACCTTTTATTCCACAATTTGTAGGAATTACCATATATGATATATCACCCACTTCTATATATATCAAGCCAAACACTGATCTCTCGCCAAAATATTTTCCATGAAGAATATTTTTCCCAAAGAAAACACACCTAACAGAACAAATAGATAAATGCACTAAAACTGCTACCACCTCCGCTCCAATTTAAATGTCTTAATTTACCCTAATACGGAGTTCAAGAAATAAACGAAACTCTTTAATTTTACAGTCTTAAATTAAAAATATGTATAAAGTTCCCTAACATGTGTCTTGAATCATCCAAATAGGATGCCGGAACGGAAAAACTTACTATCATGACACATGGATATTCAAATTTTACGATAAAACATGATCATATGAACTTTTGAATTTTACGGTATTAAATTAAAAATATGTATAAAGTTCCCTAATATGTCTTGAATTTGCCAAATAGGATGCCGGAACTGAAAAACATGTGTCTTGAATTTGCCAAATAGGATGCCGGAACTGAAAAACTTACTATCATGACACATGGATATTCGAATTTTACGATAAAACATGATCAAACATGATCAAACGCCTACTAAAATAATGGATCAAATAAGACATTTAAATTGAGACGGAGCTAGAGGAAAAATTAAATAAGCGATATCTAATATAGGTACCTTCATTTCTGGTATCCACCACCAATAGCATTATAATCTTCCTCAACTTTAGCAGTCAAGTAGGGTTTCGGAAAACCATCAATACTAAATGTCTTCTCCTTCATCATCTTCTCAACATCATCTTTTTTAAGAACAGTGCGCCTTATAGGAGGACGATTACGCCGCTGGTCACGAGAGAAGTACTTGATATCGTATACCGTATCGGGATTTGAGGTGGGGATTATAGCTTGATCTTGTGCTGTAGCAGGGCAGGTAACTCTGTACTCTGTAGCTTTTGGTACGGCGGATACATATTCTGGACTCGATTGAGGTCCTGTGATCTCCCATGGCTTCTTCAAGTAGCGTTTTACAGTTTGAATCAGCGATTTGCCTGCCGACGCCATTGTTGTTAACTTTTGTGATTCGATTTTCTGAGAATTGCGATTTTGTGTCGGCGAAGAGAAGGTAGTTCTAGAAATGGAACTTCTTTCTAGAATTTTCTCTTCTTTTTTTTTTTTTAAAAAAAAAAGGAAATTCGTATTAATGTTTTCGGTTAATTCGGCTCCCAACTGATAAGTGGAAATACCTATATATTCAAATATATTTCTACAAGTTATTTATATTTTATATTTCCTTCATTTTAATTTATTTACCATTTATATCCCATTTATCAAATTTCAGAAACCCCTTTAAATTTCGCTCTATAACATTCATCTCTTATGTGATTTAGAATATTATGTTTACCTTCTTTATTTCCATTAAACTTATTTAAAATAAATATAAATTAATTTAGATTTGACAATTTCACCCTTTTTTGGATTAATTTCTTCATATTAATAAATATTATATAAAAAATAACTCATTTAACAATTATTTAAAAAATAAATCAACACAAATACGTATTTTTTTAATCCAATAAAGATTAAAGTCTTCATTCAAGCTGACCCATCATTTTCACTAAATATTTAACTCTTCATCTCCATTCATCTTTACCAATTCATGTAGAAACCCCACAATAATTCATCATAATCTGATAACAATTTCTTCAAATAGAAGATAAAAACTCCCCAAGAGAGAAATGCGATAAGAACAATCAGCTTTTGTTTTAGTTAAAATATTTTACACAAGTGAATAAGAAACATGATCCAATGAATAGAGATAAATCGTTAAGAAAAAGATCTAAACTTTCATAAATATATAGGTAAAATGATCAAATCTAAATTAATTTATATTTATTTTAAATAGGTTTAAAGAATGATTACAAGAAAATGGAAATAAGGGAGGTAGACATAATATCATAAACCACAGAAAATGTGAGTGTTATAGAGCGAAACCTGAAGGGAGGTTCCTGAAATTTGATAAATGGGATATAAAGAGAATGGTGTGTCCTCAATTCTCACACTCCCTCCTTGGGTAGTAAAAGTTAGATGTTTTTGATAGGGCTTAAGAAAAAAACACAAGCGAAGAAATTGAGGAAAAATACTAAATTACAAGACATGGTAATATTGTGAAAAAACAACAATAATTATGATTACAAGATAATACTATAATTGATGTAAAAAAAAATACTAACGAATATTGAAGAAACAAGAAGCTACAAGAGTAATACTATAGTATGAAACAAACGAGACAATACAAACTGCCTAACATTTTTATCTTTTGATTTATGTTTTTCATAAACTTAATTCTATTATGTCCTTGGTTAGTTGAACATATGCAACATCTCCTCAATACTTCTTCTGTCTATCTCTACCTCTCCTAAAATCATCCATTGTGAACATCTCACATCTTTTCAGTAGGAGATCGGTACATATTCTCTTCACATGTCTGAACCATCTCAGTCAAGCCTCCAATATTTGGTTGTGCATATCTTCATTTCTAGTCTTATCTTTCCTATTATGTTCACACGTTCATCTCATCTTCCTCTTTTTTTTTTTTTATAATTTTCATATTTTGAAAAGAGTTTGATTTACCAATCATTTTTATGCCATCCCTACCCGCAAGCCTGCGCGACCCCGTCAAATTTTATTTTTGAAAAAAAATTTCTTGGGTCAAATCTCATGGTGGGATTTTGGATGGTTATCAGGGTCTTGTCCTAGTTTGGTTGTCAGGATTGGGTCCTAGATCAATTATCGGGTTTAATTTTCGGATCATACATTATTTTCCTAAAGAGTATCTTTTAGTCTTACTGTCTCAAGCCAAAAATAAAAGATATTTTGTGAATTTTCATTCACCAATCAAACATTAAATTTTTTTTTATTCATCAACCAAACATGAGAAAATAAATTATAAATTCACTCGTTTTCCAAGAAAATATTTTCTGAGAAAACATTTTTCCTCCTTACCAAATAGTCTTAACCCAAAATATACTCCATAGACTTTATATATGACTATGAAAAGTCCACATATGCCAAAGAAATATGACTTTGTGAATTTCCATGGATATGATAATGCCAAAGAAATGGACTGTTGACTCAGTCTCACTAATGTATGAACTTGTAGTAACAACATCTTAGCAACCATCGAGTCACAGCTTTAGACATTTCTAGTATGCAACTTCATGGTACCATTCCTCCACACCTTGGAAACCTCTCACAGATTTCATGGGAATTTGCCCCAAGAGTTGGCTCATTTGCAGAGGTTGAGATTGATTGATATCGCAAACAATAACTTTACTGGTGCCATTCCATCATTTTTAAGTTTGCTAGTAGACCTTCGCATTTTGCACCTGTGGAGCAATCAATTTTCAGGAAAAATCCCATCAATCTAACAAAGCTGGAAGTGTTAAGAATAGCGGGAAATTTCCTCGAAGGAGAGATCCCTCGAGAACTTGGTGATCTTCATTACATGACTGCTTTAAACCTGGAAAGTAACCATCTTACTGGCTCTATGCCACCATCAATTTATATAACATTACAACACTGCGAAT